TGGAAATAAACATTATGTGAGTTTCAACAATGACTATAGAAAATTCTATTGGATTTGCCTCCTTTTTGTTTTTCAGAAATTTCAAGAGTTTGAAAACTATATTGAAAGAAGCTTTGACAAAAAAAACTCTCATTGCAAACTAATTGCCAGGGGGGTATCAGAAACTTAATCCTTTATTTCAATGTTTTGATATTGCTCATATCTCATCTCTTGTCCATATACCAACAAAATGGTTCAAATAAATGTTAACATTACCTCAATGTTGAAGTTGGGTTAGCACTTTTTGTACATGAGTCCATGCCCTTTAAAGTTTGGACATGGCTTTTCTCACGTGTGTTTTTTAAATCAATCACCTTCTTAGTAAAGAGATAAACCTTGTCTCTCCATTGGAACATATATTCAGTTCTAAACCAGACTATATTTTTCTAGATTTTTGGTTGTGATATTGGCAGAATCTCAACACAAGTTATTCTTTTGTTCCAAACAATCCACCTTTTTCGGCTATAACAACCTCCATAAAGGATTTATGGGTCTTTATATTTCTATGGGGCACATTTTTATTTCGCATGATGTCATTCTGATGAGAATTTCATTTTGCCAAACTACATTCCAGTCACCAGTGTAGATTAGTACCATTAAGCCTCCCAGTTCACATGATATTGTGAAATTTTGTGGGATGGTGACATCACACATAGTTGGAAAATAGAACGTGTCCCTCAAAAACAAACCCTGCACCATGGCTAGCTCATCTTGCGCATTCTGAAGAATAAAACTGTGTGCGATGTCTTGAGCATAGCTAACAGAAATTCACAATGCCTATTGATTGGGTCCATCACACACAGGTTTTTTAAAAGCCATGTGCGATGTTGTTCACATGATTCCAAAGAAATGACCGTCTGCGATGTATGTACTATCACACATGGATGGATAAACATAAACGGTGTGCAAACGCGTCACTACCTCGTTTTCTCCTGCACGTCATCACGGTTTCCCCACCTGCGTGTTGACTACCGTGCAACACACGCGTTAGTTCCCTCGTTCCCACATGCCTCGGTTCTTAATGCGCTGGCTAAGGTGCCGTTGCAAAAAAAAAATCTCACATGCATAAAAATGTTCATTTAGAAAAATGTTATGTATGTGAAAAAATGTCCATGTGTTGAAAAAAGCTACTCACGGATATGGAATTAAACATTCATATGTATTTAAAAAAATGTTTATACATTTAAAAACTGCTATGTAGAAACAAGTGTTCACATATCTTGAACTGATGGTAATGTTTTAAAAGCAATGTTCACATATTAAAAAAAAAGTGTTCATACGGACCAAAATGAGTAAACAAGCACACTAAAGCATGTCTATATACGCCCAATTTTTTCAATAAAAAAGTTAAAAACGTCTTATAATAGTGAATGTGCGGGGCATGCTACGCGTCGACGACGAATCTTCTATATCTAAATAGAAGCCCCCCACTAGCTGATTTTCCTGGCCTCACAATCCTCCACGTCACTACAAATGTGTTCACCCGTTTGATTGACTATGGGTGGCTAGATCTGCAGCTCACGAGTTGACCGTCCTCCCCCAGTCCATCCACCTTTCTCTACCTTCCTCGGCTCCTCACATCCCAAAAACGCACACCAACACAGCCTGATACGGGCCTGGGCACCCAGCCCACCAGTTAAAATCAGGGGGCGCGATTAATTAGGAGAAGGAGATTAATTCGACGAATTAAAACAGGACAACTCAGCAGGTCCGTAAAGTCTGTGAGGTGGGAGTCCGTGTGTGTAGCATTTTTGTGCGCCTTCCTGTTCCACTTCCACTGCTTCTCCTTTTAATTCCCATCGAGTTCGGCCACCCCGCTCCGTCTTCTTGGCTTGCCTAACAAATATGCCTCCACTGCGAGACGCCTCCTCCAGTGCTCGCCAGTCCACGCCAAACAGGTCGCCGCAACCACATGTAGCTGCGTCCAGCTACCGCGGCCGGTTGCCGCTGCTCGAACACCATCGATGGGAAACAATGGGAAACAACCATGGTGTTTGGATAAGTTGTTTATGTGAAAAGTTATCTACTAGGTACTTTCCGTAACTTATCAGAAACTAATTCCATCAAATTACGTTCATGGCTTTCCCCGCTAAATTAGCATCTAGGTTGGGCTTTATTTCAGCCTGTACCCTAGATCAACACATTTCACATTTGTTGCCAACAGGAAAATTAGTTTTCATGTTTGTCTTTAAGTTTCATTGTGCATTCATAGATCTTCAAGTGCAGTACTAAGACATTTCTTGCTTATGATACTTCTTTACTTTCAGAAATGTCAAACTCGATAGCCTAGCAATATGTACTTTTCAAATTCTTGCAATGATGAATATTTATCTTCAAATGTTCAATGATTTGTAGACTCTGGTGTTAAATGTCTCCTATTTCCTGTTTCTGTTTGCAATTTAGTGTGCTGAAAATGCAGACTTGAAGCAGCGCAAGAAGATCATGAAAATGTTGGTGTATAATTGTTGTACATATTCAAGGTGCTGCAATTTGTTCGTTTCATTTTTCATATCTTATAGATAGCTGTCAGTCTAGAGTGCCCATCATTTCTCTTAAGCTATCTGTCTCACTAATGTCCCGCAGCAACGTGCGGGGTTATCACCTAGTCTTTTTTAAAGACCCGTCGCCTCGGCAACCATTCGATCTTGTGCGAACCAAGAGCCCAGCCTCGCCCTCATAATTGTAACAACGACCTTTTGCAACAGAGGTCATGTTGCAGAAACTTCTGGAACAAAAGTCATGTTGTAGAAACTTCGCAACAGAATTCATGTTGCGGAAACTTATGCAATAGAGGTCTTGTTGCGGATTTTTTTTTGCAACAGAGGTCTTGTTGCGGATTTTTTTCCAAATATTTTTTTCTTTTGCAAAATCTTTTTGTAGCATAGGTCGTGTTGCAGAACTTCATTGCAACACAACACTTGTTGCAAAGCGCCGTGTTGCAGAACCTCATTGCAACACAACTTGTTGCAAAGCACTTCACGACAACGAACACACATTGCTTCTGGTTCTAGGGTAATAGATTGAGTGTGCCCAGGAAGGCACGTGGCAAGTGGAGCATGCGGCAGCGGACGCGGCTGAGCTATCCGCCGGCTGATTGTTAGCGTTTTACATAGTGAATTGAGGGGGTACTTGTGTAGAGGGCTATGCTGGAGAGAAGAGGAAAAGAAAAAAATAACTTTTTTTGAGAAACACCTGCAATTTTATTCATACTCATAACAATTACAGGTATACTGATTCGGATCTAAAATCCAAGAAAATACAAAGTAACTCCTATGACTACGAATTACAATGAAATCTCTTGGAAACACCTTCTTCGCTGCATCAATCTCTGTTAGAAGAAATATTCCAAAGACTTCGGTAAAAGACTGCAATTGGACTGGAGCAACTAAGTTGTCACTCTTTCACCCGCACGAACATTATCAATAATGGTTTTTAAAAGCACCTTGAGTCGCCCATCCAAAAAGATGGGAAGCCTTGATGATAAACTGGGCCGGGGATGGTCCCCTAAAAGTGCAGGACATCGGATCACAAAATCTTCACCATGATATCGATGAAACACCAACTTCACAAAGAATCGGACCAACAGAAAAAGTTTGACACACCAACGTAAACTTATCAGATCCAAATAATCGGATAGGCGAGTACAGAAAACTCTCTAACCTCATGGCATCGCCAAAAAAACGAAAGTAAATTTATTCTCACAAAATACGATGATCACTAGACGATGACGAAGACCCTAGTACTTCGAAGATACGAGGTCCCCTACCTCTACGCGGCAAGATGGCAGCCGGAGACAGGTCTCGAACACTCCCTCCGTCACGCGAGGCGTTTTCCCCTGCCCTAGCCGCCGCCACAACAAGGCGACTAGGCAGGCGGATCTTCTTCCACCGATCTCCACCGGCCAGGACGTTGGTCCCCTCTCCCTTCGGCTGCTGCTCCGGCAGCAGGAGGGAGGGGGGACCTCGTCCCTCCGCTCTGTAGTTAGGATTTGAAACTGTAGGTCGTGGTGCGTCGTTGGGGTGGTGGGAGCGTCGCCTGGGCGAATAAATCTGCCTCAACTCCACTCCCATACTGGCGGTGCTCATCATGGCGGCGTCTCGGAGTTGATGGCAACGTGTGTTTGCCGATCCTTCAGATCGGTGGTGTTAGAGTTCATGGATGGTGTCTGCGAGGCGGCGGCGGTGACTCCATCAGGTGTGTATCTCCTTCTGCTCTGTCCCCATTGCTGCGGCGTTGTCTCCGATGTCATGGTGGAGCAGGGAGGTTTTGTCATCCAGGAGTACGCGTAGACGGTTGTCTACGCAAGTGACAGCTGGAAGATGGTGCATCTTGTGTTGGATCTGTGGTTGAAGGCTGACAGTTCTGGTTTCCTCCTCCGGCGTCATAGTCGTGTGGGGGTGTCAGTTCTGAAGTTCGATGACGTGTCCAGGGACATGTTGCCCTGGTCTGATTCTTTCAACGGCAATGGTTTTGCTTCAAGCAAACTACTTTGGAGGTCCGTAAAGTTGCTGATCAGCGATGGAGCCGCGTCGAGTTTGGGTGAATAGGTGATCCGTCTCCTTTTCCTTCGTGGAGAGGGACATGCGCTGATTTTTTGCATAGGATTATTCTATATTTTCAGTACTGTAATGTCGATGTTTGCGTGGCTTGTAACTGAATCTTTTTTTATTAATAAGGCACATATTATCATGCAAAAAAAAAAAGATGGCAGCAGGAGGGGAGGGACAAAAAATTCCTAGCGGCGGCGGGGCTGCAAACCCTCGCTCGTTCCTACCCCCTGCCTTTAAGAAAAAAGATTACTGTGCCATGCCCATCTGCCCTATTGGTAAACCAAACAAACCCAAAATCAGCGTTGTCCCCTCCAGGCCCTCCGACTGGAAATTCGTCCTGGCTTCCCAAACCCACACCGCCTCCTCGCGCTCCAATCCATCGAAATCCAACTAAACCCTAGCTAAGCTAGCATGTCCGGTATGGCGTCGGAGGGCGGAACCAATGAGGCAGCGGCAGCGGCGGCGACGGAGGGGGAGAATCAGCGTCGGAAGGGGAAGCCGTGGGACGAGGATGGCCCCAGCAGCACCGACCGCTTGAAGGCGGAGAAGTTCGAGCCCTCCTCGAGCGAGGGCGCCCTGCTCGAAACCACCTCCTTCTCCACCACCTTCGCCAAAGACAAAGGCATGCGACCGACCACTCACTCCGCCCCCCTCAACCCTCTTCCCCTTCCCCCATCCTGCGATTCAATGGAATTGAGCCGTATTTGATCGTTAAGGTGTCCTGTTTGTTTGTTTGTTTGTTCGGGTGCAGAGGAGTTTCTGCTGGAGGCGTGGCCGGTCGTCAAGGGCGCACTGAAGGAGCACGGGGTCTCGTGCAAGCTCAGTTTGGTACGCTGATCACTTGTTTCGGCTTTCTCTTCAAGCAGTAGATAGATTAATTAATATCCAAAATTTGGGGTCAGTCCCATGATGTTGTACAAACGTGCGTGTGCAGAGTGAGGGATCCATGACGGTTTCGACCACCAGGAAGACCAGGGACCCGTACATTGTTGTCAAGGCAAGGGACCTGACCAGACTCCTGTCGCGGAGTGTCCCTGTACATCAGGTACACTACACATGCATGTGCTTTGTTGCTGATCGATCAAGCCCTTCAACTTCTTTGCAACTCTGTCTGACATGTGTCTTAATTTTTGCTCATCTGATTCATGGAGGTTTTTGTTTGTTTAACTTGCGGGCGGCAATTTATATCCAGTGAATTGCTAATAGAACCGTCCTTGTGTCTTAATTTTTGCCCATCTGATTCATTGGGCAAGTAACTACTGGATGAGAATTTGAGTACTCTATAATTGAAAAGAAAAACATTCCTTAGTATGTAATAGTGTGCCATTCCTATTCTTGAGCAGCTGACAACTCGATCATATTTTGTGGGAGTTGTTCATCCCTGATTAAACTTGTACTGATTTTTGCAGGCGATTAAAATACTCAACGATGATATGACCTGCGATATTATTAAGATTGGTGACCTCGTACGGAATAGGGTAAGACTCTTTCATAATTGACTACAGCTCTTGCAGTTTTACAGATTGCTTTGACTTTACCATGATTATTGCTGCATTCTGTGGTTCTCTGCTAGCTATCAAATATTTCAACAGGAAGAAAAATATAAGTAAATTTTTAATTGTCAAAGTAGGTTGCAGAACCAATCAAATAATTGTATTAAACATTAGCTTATTCCCCTTTCTCTAGACTCTGGGTGCTTAATTGCATTTTTGTTGTTTCAGAATTACCTAATACACTGTAATTGGGTTGGGAAGTTTTTCATCTGTTATATGCACTGTGTGCTGTATTTGTTTTACTTTTTTTTATCCATTTTTATGATGAGACCCCTAAATTACTTTTATGTCAGATGATTGTGCTCATAACATAATTTTACAAGGTCACTGTAGTTTCTAGTGTTGCCTTTTTCACATATGCTCCATATATGTATACTGTGTTTCACATAGTTGCATAAATGCGTGTGCTGAATCTGTCTCCTCCATAACAATTTCATGAATCCAATTATAAAAATATTTGTTTCGTATTGTACAACTTAATATTTCTCCTTTTGGTGTGATTTAGATTATGGTGTTATCTTAAATTAGACCTTAGATCATTTTCTTTTGCCGCTCTTGATGAATTTAGCTCTGATATCCTCAGTACAGTAATAATGTGCCATGTACAGAAAAGGTTTTCTGAACGGAGAGACCGTATGTTAGGACCTAATATGTCTACCCTTAAGGTACCACTCATATGGTTCTTGTCCTGTTGTTGTGTCTCTTTTAATGTACTCTTGTGTTCACATGTTTGTTTTCTGCACTACAGGCCCTAGAGAATTTGACTGGCTGCTACATCTTAGTTCAGGTTTTTCCATAATTTCAACCTTAGTACTTCATCAAAGTTACAGTACAGATTTATAGGTCTACTACCTTTTACTCTTTATGCTTAAATATTGACCATCATGAAAGGGAAATACTGTTGCTGCCATGGGTTCCCTTGACGGAAGGGGACTAAGACGAGTCAGAAAGATTGCAGAGGATTGCATGAATAACATAAAGGGTCCACTGGATCACATTCAGGTGACTGGTTTGGTTTTATCACCTGTGTTTTGTTAAGGTGTATGCCTATTGCCTGAGACTACTTATCAGTTTTTGTTAACTATAATCAGGAACTCAAAAAAGAACGTGAGCCGGCTAAAACACCTGCCCTGGCTAATGAAAGCTGGGGCAGGATTCTACCGAAGTATGAGAAGTAAGGAATTTGCACCGTATTTCATACTGAAAAGTGGGGGTTGCGTCTTATGCCTGCTCATTGCTTGCTGTTTTCTAGGGAGAATATCAAACTGGAGCAGCCATACACACCCTTTCCATCTCCGCAGCAGCCTAGCAAGGTGAACTCAATTTATTTTTTGGTTTCTAGCGCGTGCTATTACAGTTGTTTTACAGTTTTTGGTATACTGTTTTCTTCACCAATTCATGAACTGCTATGGTGGTTAGCAGTCCTGTCATGGAACTTCGTGATTTCATTCGAGCTGGCCATCCTACAGCAGTGCAGCTGACCATATAATTCATCCCATGTTAATTTCTAAGATCAGTGCAGTTCACAACATGCTACTTGAATTAGTAGAATCAACAACCCACATGCTATGTAGATTTTTGCATGTTTTCCTTGTACTGTGTGGGTATTGTATTGTAGCAGTTGCAACTGAAAATGTTGGCTTCTTTACATACTGTTTGATTAATAATATCTTGTCATTATGGATACTGTAGACTGATCTTGAACTTGAGAATGGCAAGTATTCTCTGAGTGACGAAAAGAATTCGACAAAGAAACTAGAAGAGAAGTCGGACAAGCAATCGAAGAAAGTGGATGGAAACAAAAGAAAGAGAGAAGCTGCATCTATTCCCCCAAAGGTTAGGTTTCCCTTTTGTGTTTTCTTTCTGTCAGTATGATCCACCTTTTCTTGTATTAGTTACTAAGCACTGGTTGTTTTTGTTTCAGGGGAGCACTGCAGGTTCATCTGAGTCTGCCATGGCCACCAGTGGGGATAACGAGGTTGCTGATATAGTGGCCATGCCCTCAAAGGTAACACCGCTTTCGTTGTTCTACGCTTTGCTACAAAATCTTGTCCAACCATTTTTAACCTATTTTCGAGTGTGGGCTGCTGCTGCTGCTGTATACTGAAGAAAGTAGGACGGTCATCTCATGATTGTGAATCTGCTCTGTTTGCAGAACAAGGCAAAGAAGGAATGCATAAAGGGTGGATCACAAGAAAATGTGTGAACAAACAAGTTGTACGTATCACGCCCCAGAGAGAAGCAGAAATTATCCAACCCCGAGTAACCGTGCGCGATATGAATGCACGGCGTCAGTGACTTGCTGATAGAGGCTATGTTAGTTTTGAGTTAGTCGAACCACCGCCATCGTGTCGACCGTACCATCGAATAGATCGATATTTGCTTTTTGAACCAAAATGTTTTCTTAGGAATCCTTTTGTATGAATTGCTCGAAAAGTTTTTGTGGGCGATTTGTGGTCTACCTTCAGACACTGCTCTCAGACGAGAGCTCATGTATGAGGCCCGTGGGCGTCAAACAGGGAGTCTTAGCTGGAAACCCGGTTGTTGTTTTTTAGGAGCTACATATTTTTATAACCTGTTAAAAATAGAAAAATATATATTTTTTTAAAAAAATTTGTTCCTTATGTGTTATCTCATAATATATAAAAGTTCGGTGTATATAAAAAGTTCAATGTATAATAAAAAAGTTCGGAGTGTTATAAAAATGTTCCATATAATTGAAAAAAGTTCACCTTATATTAAAAATGCTCAATGTACATAAAAACGTAAAATGTTCACCATATTTGAAATAATGTTCACCGTATATTAGACAAATGTTCACTGTATATTGCGAAAACTATAAATAAAACTTTATAAATGCGAAAACGAAAAAAAGGAACCAAAATCTCAAAGAAGAAAGAGAAAAACGAAAAATGAAAAAAAAAACAAAACAACCCGCAGAAAAAAAAAGTGCATGCGTCAAATAGGCCAGCCATCTTGCCTCGCACTTCAGCAAAGACGCGTCAGACCACGGGGCGTGGTCTCCTATTTAGCGCGTAGGTCCCGTGTTAGCCACCAAACGAGTACCCTCCCGCCCTTCCTAGCGTACACTTGAGCCAGTCCAAGAAGTTTCTTTTCGGTTTTGGGATGGTGTTAGAGACCTTTTTTCTGTTTTCTTTCGCCTCTTTTCTGCCTTTTTCATCTTCGATTTCTCCTTTTTTTTCATATTGCTTCTTTCTTTATTTTATTATTTTTGTTTTACTTTAATCTTAATTTTATTTCAAAAAAAATCTTCTTTTACTTTATTCTATTTTCTATTTTTATTCATTTTCTGTACATCTTTCAAATTTGTGAACATGTTTTCAAATTATGTACTGTTTAATAATTCTCAAACATCATTTATGAGAACATGCTTATTTTATAAATTCGTGAACATTTTTTACAAATCATGTACATTATTTGACTTTGATAAACATATTTTTACAGATTCATGCATTTTTAAAAAAAAATTGGAAACATTTTCTGAAACTCGTGAATATTTTTTTGAAATTTGAGAACAACTTTTGAAATTCACGAACATTATTTTGTTTTGATGAACATTTTTTAGTCCACTAACATTTTTTTAATCAATGAACTTTCCTCGAAATTTGGGGGGAAAATCTGAATTTTGTAAACATTTTTTTAAAAATCATGAACAAATTTTGAACTCACGAACATTTTTCCAAATTCATGATCATTTTTTTAATATGCGGAAATAAAATCACAATCATTTTATAAATAGGCGGAAATTTTATGATTTTCCCAATAGTTTCAAAATCATTACATTAGTTGAATTCACGGACATTTTATGATTTCTTAAACATATTTATTATAATTAGCATTTTTTAAAATTAGGAATTTTCTGAAATCCTTGATTATTTTAAAGAAGAGAAAAAACAAAATTGAAAAGAAAAAAGGCAAAAAGGTGAAATGGAAAAACCAAGGGCATCCCGCCCCGCACATGGGCCATCTTCCTGTAGATAAAGGGGAAGTTTTGGAGATTATACAGAATACCGTAAATTTTGTAGAGGAGAAGTTTCGAAGATTATACGAGATCTTGTAATCTCTTTTACGCGTTTATTAAATTATTGAAGAGCTTTTTGGGTCCACATTTCCCTATACTACAGTTGTTGTATGGATAGGGGGTTATTTTTTGGTGAAAAGGATAAGGACCTATTATAAAAGTTCAGCAGAATTACAAAGCATCATCAACACAATAAAAATTAAATCAAGTTTTGAGACCATCGTACGACAACTACCTCCAACAAAACGAGTTGTTGTTGCCGCTACCTACCAGAACCACCCTGACCTTGTCGATGACAGCCAAAAGTCTGCGTGCACATGCCCCTAAGGATCAACGCCCTGGAGCCGCAGTAGTCGTCGTTGAACCCTTGAATTGATTTGGAGCGCCTGACACCATATGTCATCATCGTGAATGCAGGGCGATATCTAACCTCGTCGCCCCAAGGAGACGACTGAAAACTACATCAGACCTCCATCGAATATCTTCTGATGGACAAAATCGAGAAGGATTGAAGCCCGAAGGACTAACTTGAAGGTGAGATGTCGTCATCCTTGAAAATAAGCTAACCTAAACTACAACCCAGAGCCAAGGCACCAAGGTTCCCCTCTGCGTCACCGGTCGTCGGAGCGTCAGGCAGAGGGGAGGAGAATCCATGAGCTGGTCGACGGAGCCGAAAGGGATTAGATTTGCAGCTGCCTCCGTCCTGGTTTACTAGTCCCCTCGTATTTTAGATCATATTTTGATCACGATTTCAACTAATAGAATATAAGTTATACATAACAAAAGCAATATCATTGAAAATTTACATTCAAACACGAATCAAACAATATAATTTTTTGTTACATGCATTAACATTTTGGTAACCAAATACTATGTGGTTAAACTTTGATCCAAAATATAAAAATGACTCATAAACCCTGACACAGGTAGCAGATCCAAACTTACGATTTCATATCAGCTAAATGTTAACTCCCTCCGTCCCATAATATAAGTTATAAGACGTTATTGCCTTCAATATGTGAGCATATTGGATGTAATGGGATGGCGAGAGTACATAAAAGAGTAAAATACATCATGGATTCTAAAACTATGGGAGGTATGTCAGTGTAGTCATAGAACTTCGAAACTGCGGGTTTAGATCCTAAAACTATTGAAGGTGTCTCAGTTTAGTCCTATAACTTTCAAACTATAGTTTTGGGTACCAAATCTATGTAAGTTTGTTCATCTCTGGTCCTAAACTTGCATGGCCAACATCTATTGTACATTTTTTTTTCAAATGAGCCCTTTATATGTGTTTACGTCATGAGAAGTGGTCCATACTCTACAACATCGCAATGTGTGTTGCAACCGGCATGCCACCACCTGCGTGGCCATGAGTTGCAGGGCAGCCTCGTCGAGAAGTTTGGCATGGTCACCAGGGAGACCCTAAGCCAGACGGCATGGAGGATGACATCCCTCTCCCTCGGCGCGACCGCCGGGGAGACCCCGAGCCAGTCGGGATGGGGGACGCTATCCTGCCTCTCTCTCTCTCTCCCTTCCTCTGTGGCGCGCGCGCGCGCGTGCCTGGCACCCTTGCCACAGATCGCGGAGGAGTGCACGAAAACCACGAAGCTGGCGCAAAGGTCGTCGAGAGTGACGCGACCCCAACAGCAGCCACAAGTGGGTAGCAATTGGACGTACGACGTGTCGTTCTGCTACTACAGGGTGAGGCTGAGATGACTAGTCTACTCTCCTCGCTGGAGCTCAAGCCATGATGCTACTAACGGCCTCTGTACTATCTCTTATGAACATTCTGTGCGTGGGAGAAGATGAGGGCGTGAGAATGAGGCGAGACAACGCTCTAGGGATTTTCTTGCGTATTTATCTTCCATAAATTAACCTGGTGGGCCCATGGGTCAACATGACAACAGTCCAAGCATCTTCAAGCGACATGTCGGCGGGTCAATGCTAGCCATGCAAGCAACTTAGGACATGAGATGAACAAAGTTACATAGTTTTGGCACCCAAAACTGCAATTTGAAAGTTATATAACTAAACTGACACGCCTCATCTCCAATAGACCTAAAACTGCAGTTTCAAAGTTGTAGGACTAGACTGACACAACTCCAATAGTTTTAGAACTTACGATGCATTTTACTCTATATAAAATATGACTGATATGACTATGTTCCAAAACGACATAAGTAGCATCAGTAGTAAAACATGAGCAGCTTTGTCATAACCATAATCATCTCATCAGACTCGGGAGCTTAAAACAAAAGAAGATTACGGCTCAAAAGCTGCGCCACCCAATATAACAAACCGCGCGCTTCCATGCCACGACCTCCCCACCCATGATTGGAACGGATTGGATTCCATGCTTTGAGGCGACACCACCGTCTCTTTGCTTGCAAAATGGACCCAACTCCGAGATCCCAAAGGCCGGGACGGTGCCGCGCTTTTTCACGCCAGACCGCCCAAGTTCATGAGCATACGTGCAGTGCAGTACTGCACCTGCTTTCGCTCGCTGTTGCTGATGGACCTGGCTGGCCTTTGGGACTTGACAGCAACTTGGATTGTTTCCACATGACGAAGGCCTCAATTTCCGCTCCAAAGACAAGGACTCCCGGATTTCCTGCCAGTATAAGTTATGGGTTTTTGTTTTTTTAATTGAGTATAAGTCATGGTTAGTTCGGTAGTAAGTATAAAATCCGTGGTACTATATGCTGACCTAATATCAAATCTGTTCCCCATTTATGTCAGCAAGGACCACTCTCAACAAGAGACAAGGGGAAGGAAAACTGCATTATCATATATGGATTAAGCATTACTGGAATTTTCAATTGTCAATTCTAACTTTTAGCAGCAAAGAGGGTCTTCAGAGAGCAAGCATATAGTACCTGATATTGAGGAGCAGCCGGTTCTCTTTCGTCTCATCCTTCGGACTCCGAGGAATCCACTGCGTATATGCTCATCTTGTTGTTTCAGGAAGACGCTGCCGACTCCCATGAGCAAACTATGAAACATTACTGTCTCTTGGTGAAATCAGCTCACTCTTCTCTCAATAATGGCACAGGAGCTCTGATTCCCACAGCCTGATGAAATGAAACCAAAATGTGAGGAAACAGGACAGTGATATCACAATGGCAGGGCTCTTCTCTGCTTTGCAAACTGGTGAAGAGGAAACTAGTCCCACATGGCCACATTAACTTCTCACATGATCAGGCAGACAGGCTACACGCCATGAACAGGAACACATTGACAATGACGGAGCAAGGCTCGATCCAGCCACTTGTCAGCCCCAGACTCCCAGTTCTTTTGATAAATTGGGCATGTAAAACGATGGTGTATGTAGTAAATTCCAAGCCATGCGGCCAGAGTGATAAAACAGACAGAATGCTGAAAACAGGACAGCAACAAAATTGACATACCACTAGATCTTGCAAGGATTTACATAGCGTTATTGGGCAAACGAAACAAATGAAAATTCTAGTATGAAAAAGTATATCTGTAGAGGCAAAGGAAAGGCCATGTGCCATATTTTCTCAAGGACTTTTGGTGGTAACATTTCTTACACCGGCTGCAGGGGCTGGATCATCAACAACATACATGATCACCAAGGCTACAGCATCTAAGGATTCTTTACCGCGGATTTGCATCAGAGCACCGTCAGCTAGGATAGCTGTTTTGCTCATCTCTAAGAGCAGTCAGCTGTGCGGTCTAATTCTGGTCTCCTCGTTCGATTTTCCAAGAATTCTTGGCCGCTTCAGCTGATGAATTACCAGAATCTGCACCCTTGTCTTTGGGCTTGGGCTTCGAGAAGAATGGATCCCACTCATGAGGTCCAACTGTCCGCTGTCCTTCTAACAGTTCATACTTCCAGCTATTCTCTTCAATAAAATCTTTATCTTCGCTGCCAGAGATGATATCTCTTCTCAATTGTGTCACTTTGTTGATGATTGCCGAAACCGAAACATCAAACGCGTCCTTTAGCGTTTCCAGTTTCGACCTTGGATCAGCATATATCACCTTTGGTATGAGATTTATAACCTCTTCTCTCATCTGCTTGACAACGTCTGGATGGATACTTCTCAGTATCTCCTCAACACTGACATTTCCATCACGGACGCCACCTTCAGGGATGAAGACCGAGTAACTCGTATAATTCTTCGGAAGATGCCATGTATACTGGACATATGCTGAACCAGGATGGAAGAAAACAGGTATGCAGCCAGCCAACATTGAGTCGAAGGCAGATCTTCTAGTATAGGAATCACCCTGGGGCTGCAAGCAGAATAAAGAGCTCTGGAACATCTTCATGATTGCACTTGGGGAGTGGCACTTGCTCTCTCCAAGGTCACACTCCAACAATTTACAGAAACTTGATGTCCTGCACTGATCGATGAGCTGCCCTCTGATAGACATTGGATCACCAGGACGAGGAGCCCCTGCGAATGAGAACAGCCATGGCCTCTCCAGGCTCCTCATTCTATCTTGCCAAAGGAAAACATCCTCATCTTTGGCAGGGTGAAAGTAAGTCGGATATGGCACCGCAAAATCATTGGCATTCCATGGGCTTGACTCCACCACCAGCATTGACATATTCTTCGCAGCCGGCATGAACAGCAGCTTGTTGCCCCAGTCAGATTCTTCGTCTGTGAATCGCCTGAAATCCCACGCAATCCTTCCCCCAACCAAGAAATGGTCACGCCCACCCATCACATTCCACTCGGGCCTCTTCCTCAACCAATCCACCAGATCATGCGGCGCAGCGTCCCTCATCGAAATGTTATACCCCCAGAGATACCTTGCCACATCAAACCCGGCGTAGAAGGGCACGAACACCGCCGCGGCGATGGACGAGTCCTTGGTGAGGCACTCGTACTGCTTCATCCGGTTGCCGAAGATGACATCGACGGCGAACTGGTTGGTGGCATACCAGCCGGTGTTGGAGAAAACACCGTCCTCGTTGCTCAGCGGCGGGCCGAGACCGTCGTTGCCCGTGAACTTGCACATGTTGGTCCAGACGCTGAGGCTGTGGCACTCCCGGAGCATGTCCTCGTTGAAGCGCGGCGGCAGCTCGTGCACGTAGATGTACCGGCCGCCGCACGGGTCGCTCGCGTTCTCCGCCATCTTGAGCGCCCGCTGGAACGGGTACTCCTTCGGGGGCGCCTCCTCCTTCTCGGCGACGGCCGCGGGCGCCTCCTCCTTGCCGACGACGGCCGCGGGCACCTCCTCCTTGCCGACGACGGCCACAGGCGCCTCCTCCTTCTCGACGACGGCCGCGGGCGCCTCCTTACCGACGACGGCCGCGGGCGCCTCCTCCTTGCCGACGACAGCCGCGGGCGCCTCCTCCTTGCCGACGACCGCCACAGGCGCCTCTTCCTTGCCGACGACGGCGGCGGGCGCCTCCTCCTTGCCGACGGCGGCGGGCGGGGTGCGGAGAAGGCCGTCGTGGTTGAAGACGCGGTCCGGGAGGTGGTCGTGGGCAATGCGGGCCTGGGTGGCGACGGCGACGGGCCGCGCGTCGGGGTCGGGGACGAGGACGGAGAAGTGGAAGTAGAAGATGAGGACCCAGAACATGACGCAGAGCGTGGCGAGGAAGCAGAGGCGCGACTGCGGCGGCTTCCCGCCGCCCTTCTCCGCGTCGTCGTGGTGGGACGGCAGCACGGAGCGCCGCCTCATTGCAGCAGCAGGCGCCCGCGCACGACGCGCCTTCGCCGCGCCGACGCCGGATTCGCAGCCGAGGGCCAGCGCCGCCGGAATCCCGCCGCCGCACCGGCCTCGAAACCTCCACCGGCGGGGCGCGGGAGAAGCGGATCGGCCGGTCGGACTCGGGAGGGGAGGTTTTGGTTTTGGTTTTGGTTTAGGGGGAGAGGAGGAGGCCTATTATCGCTGGGGATGGGAATGGGAATGGGAATGGCGGAGCTTTTGGTGGCGGCCGGTGTGGGATTTGGGGGTTTGAACACCGTCTTATTTTGGGGGGTGGGATGCCGGGATGGGAAGACGGGGGAGGGAATAAATGTGGGCAAGACGTGGCGGCCGGCCGTCTCTCGATGCGCGTCATGCCGTGGGGGCGTGTCGGTAGGAAGGAGGGAGGTACTATAATCAGGGGGTTCATCTTATTTTTCTTGGAGTATGATATAAAAATTGGGGAAACGTTTGGGGCCGGGGCACCGGCGGAAACATTAGGCCGGTCTTCCTCTTCCTCGCGTCTTCTTCATGGGGCGCGCGGAAGCCCTCTTCTTCTGCCCCCTCCTCCTCACCCCTTCCCTGTCCCTTCCCCTCTTCCCGAGCTGCGACTAGGCCACCACGGGCTACTTCGCCGGCGGCCAGGCTCCCCTCGCCGACTGCCATGGCTGCCTGCCGCCATGGCCAGATCCATCCCCTACTTCAAGCCTTCACGCGGGCACATCCCCTTCCCCTTTCCCCCTTCCCCCGGGCTGCGACTGGGCGACCACGACCTCCATCGCCGGTGGCCAGGCGCTCCCTCGCCGGCCGCCATGGCTGCCTGCAGCCATGCGCGGATCCTCCCGCGTATACAAGTGTTGCAACCGTCACCTAGAAAAGCTTCAACAGCCGTTGAAAAAAGCTTCAACCATAGACATAGAAAGCTTCAATGGCATTGCACAACAAGGGAAAGCTGCAACCGTTGTTGGATTTTGCTACTACCGGCAAAGCTTTTTGCTACATCCATCAGGCAGAGCTACGACCTCGCGAGGACGATAATGATTTTTTTGCTACAACCGTAGCAGGCTTTTGCTACTACCGTTGGAGGTTTTTGCTACATCCAGTAGATAAAAAAGCTTCAACCAGACAATGAAATACAGGAAAAGTTACAACCGTTTTGACAAAAAGCTTCAACCCACAGATGAAAAAGCTTCAAACAGAGATTGAGAAAATCCTCCTCGACGACGACCATGGCGTCTCTCTGTGTTTTTGTTGCAACCGCAGAGTAAAAAAGCTGCAACCCCTTGTGAAAAAAGCTTCAAGCTCAGGTGAAAAAAGCTTCAATTGGCACGGTGGAAAGCTTCAATCCGCGAGAAAAGTTTCAACAGGCATAGAGAAAAGCTTCACCCGATGAGATAAAAAGCTTCAACCTGACTCGCCAATGGCAGCGAGCAGCGACGTTGAGAGCTGCGTCGGCGACACGACAGTCCAGCGACGACGACGGCTGCTAGGTGCTGCGACGACAAGGGATGCCGGTGTGCTTCAAGACGGCGGCATTTTTTGCTACGAGGGGGCGATGGGCTTTCTGCTGGACCGGGGGGCGAGTACAGATGCTGCGACGGGGACGGGGACGGCGGCCGGCGGCGACAGGGAGGGAGAGCGCATCTAGCAGCGTGGGACTAGGGGGAGGGAGGGAGGAGGAGGTCCAGGTGAGGGGGCTAGTCGCCGGCGACAGGAGCGGGAGGACGCGGTGAAGAAGAAGAGGAAGAAGTCAACGCGGGGGAAGGGGGCTCGAGGAATAGATCTGACGGCTCGAGCTCGCGGATCGGACGGCTGGGCCTTGACCGGCCCAACGATTGGGCCGGTGCGCCGGCGCAGATCACTGCCCTAAAAATTGTGCAGTCAAAGCTCGTTTCATCACACACACTCTTCCCTCTTTGCCCACCTCCCTCCTCGTGCGTCAATCCGATACCGGCATCCACCTTCCCCGCCGCTTGCCACTCCGGCCGCGGCGGCCACCCCCTACCCCTCCAGTTCGCCTCCATGGCCGCTAGCCCCCGATCACTCACCTCGTTGTTCCAACACGCGACCAAGTGTCCAGTGGTTTCTGGCTCGGGCTTGTCTGCGGGTTCAGACAAGCCCGGTGTGCGAGCATGCTCGGAGGGGTCGTCGGCACCGCTCCAGGAGGTTGAGTTTGGCCGTCAGGCGGCAGGCTCGGAGCAGCCCCACCGCTTGCAAGGAGATCTTGTTAGAGACGAAGGACATGCGCTTTCAGGTGCCTTGAGAAGGGGCACTTCAAGGTTTGTGGCATAAACGGAAATGTCCGACGCTAATGAGTAAGGGGTGCAATGGCAGTTCCTCGCTGGCATCTACTAACGGGGCAACGGCTCCAATGGTATTGTGGATTCTACAGTGCAACCCAAACCGGTGTGGAGTGGCATCGACCAGATTCCGCGCAAGGAAATGGGCGTCCCTTGGCGTCCATGGCGGTGGTCCAAGGTGGGAAGATGCCCCACCAATCTGCTAGCACCCTTTTGGGCCGGCGTGGAGTACTAGCGGATGCGACTATTGAACGATCTATCAAGAAGCTGATTGAGACACCACTTCATGTCTGTGCTGAAACTTTGGTCTCAACCTTGTAGTCGGGCTCAGCAATGATAAACGTGTGCCCCTACCTTGTTGAAGACAGTGTCTACTTGTTGTGTGTTGGTCTTCATTGACTGGTCTCGACAAGCAGGATGAAAATGTTTGTTCATTCCGTCTACAGCTGGATGTGGCGATGGCGGCGCAAGGATGTTTATCCCTTCTTAAAGGTGTTGATTCGAAAGAGTTGACCTTGCCGTAGGTGTTAAATTCACGTCTTTGTTATGTACTCTAATTAATAATTAATAAGAATGAATGTATGCATCTTACCGATGCAGAGGGCGGTGGTTTTTGCCTCCCTTTGGAAAATAAAACTTGGGCCTAAGGTAGACGATGTGCAAAAATAATTATAGAGGAAAAGCTAGAAATGCTCTAATGGAGCAGATCCGCATGTCTCTGCAAAATTTTCAGCATCCATAGCCGGGAGTTGACGTGTGAGTAGAGAGTGCATCCCAATGTACTAACCGGAAGTGAATGTATAATTGTATTCGTCTTTTAAATCCATTGTTAAGTCAAACACAGGGTACATTTATCCGTATAAGAAAACAGGGTCCATTGCACATTGATCGTGACTTGGAGTAAGTCAAAAGAGATGACATTATAGTAATAAAAAACGAAGTCAAATACCATGCCTGTTGGTAGAGGTAGCTATGTTCGTGAGCGTATTATTGGGTGTGGACAAGACGTGTACCTCCCCCGGCAAAAAAAGAAAGACAAGTCATGTACCTCTCCGCCACAATGGCCAAGTCGAGGCGACCACACCGCTAGAGGACACATGCGCACCGACGAATTTGGAGGCAACCCAAATGGGGCCAAAATTCTAACTTGGATTCATCAGATTTTAGAAAGAAGTACGCAACGGATGGCATATTTCAGTTTCAGAAAGCGTGTTTGGTGGGAAAAGGGAGAGATTTGGCAGCACAAAGCCGCACGCATAAACAGTACTGTACGTGTGAGACGGTTCTTGTTGTATGCAGAAAACAATCTGGGACGGCAGCATGGCAGGTGGCTTTCCCGGACTGCCCCCTGCCGCGGCCAAAACGTGCGCGTGCCGGCGACAATCGTCGGTGGCCGGTCAAATGAGCGGCGCGCGCTGCGCAGGCGGTGACGTGCCGGCCGCCGCGCCGACGCCACCGGCTGTACTGCTGGCACCCGCCGTGCTCTCCCGCGGCGCGCCTCAGCCCGTCAGCGGATCCGAAGAGAAAACAAGGACAGAAAAGGTAATTTTCTGGGGCCTGGGGCGCTGCCGACGACGCCTGTTTTGTTTTCACCGAATCGGCCCCCGCGGCAGCGAGTGCTCGACAAGGGTCGGGTCGGGTCGGGTCGGGTCTCCATCGATCCTGCGCGGCGCATATCCCGGCCCGTTGGTCCTGCTCGCTGGGCAGCAGCGTCACGACGGAATAGTATACTCGATGGATCCCGCTGGGCTCTGCTCATGCGCAGAACGTCGCAGTAAATTAACTGCGGCTGCCTGCAACTTTGGAGGAGCCCACGACCCTTTTCTTTTCTTTTCGTGCTGGTACCCAGGGCTCCTTGGTGAAGGCAGTTTAACCAAAGACGCGGCGCAGGACACGGAAGCAGGAAGGTTAAACAAAGGGGACGCAAGCTCGATCAAATCAAGGCCCTGATGATTGATCAGGACATGCACTACGAGATCTTGTTAATTCCCCATCATTCCCACACCTCCCGGCCGGTCAGGCCCACGCGCCCCCAAACCACCATCATCATTTCCAATATCGTACTCCTACTACTACTACTACTAGGAACGTACTACGTGGCCTGGGCGTCATGACTGCCGAGTGGGTCTCACGAACGCTGCCCTGATCTGTCTCCATGCATATGCGTGTGTAATTGTAAACAGAAGTCTCCGGCCGGACGGACGCACGACGGAGGAGTCTTCGGCCGCGTAAACAAAGATCCAAGCGGCGAGCAAACAAAATCATTGGAACTCTCTGCTAATGCGACGTTTGTTGGGCCCACGATCACCGGCGTGCATATGGCCGCCCCTGCCGCTCACTGCTGTCCTGTCTCTCTCTCTATCTCTCTCTGACTGACCGACGATGGCTTAGAAAAGTCCCGCGCCTCTCCCGTCCCATGTTAGCCTGTCGAGGCTCGGCGCGGCCACGTCCAGGTCGCTAAGATCTTAGGGCCTGTTTGGTTTCAATAAGTCACCTGACTTATAAGTCAGGTGACTTAAAACCAATGACTTATAAATCACGCCCGTTTGGTTGTCACCTAACTTATAAGTCACCTGACACACCTACCCACACCAATCAACATCATGCAGATGGTAGGACCCACGCAAAAGGGGGTGACTTATAAGTTTTAAGTTGGGATGGAGCAACTTATGACTTATAAGTGGGGTGACTTAT